TAATTGTATATTAATCTTGAAAAAAAAATATTCTATTTAAAATTAATTTACCATTATTTAGAAGGTTTTAAATGATTAAAATATAAAAGACAAAGATAAAAGAAAAAAGTAGTGAAATAGTAGCCTTGTTATTAACACACGTGAATATAGCTCAATTAACCCTGGTAATAATGTCGTTATCATTCATTGTTTTGTCATGCTTTTGTCCGTCTGTTTTTTCACTCACCCGCGTATGCAATTTCAGAAGCTTGTATTTGTTTTTAACCAATCAATACACTAAAGGTTGGCCATAGGTCCCCACTACACGTGTCCTTTAAGTTCTCTATAATTTTATTTGACGATAATTTGAAATTGTCTCTAAAAATAATATTTTCTTTAAAATTAAAATGAAGTATATATTAGTTCAGTTGATTCGTGACATTCAATTAATATTTCAATACATAATATATTATATCGTACTTAAAATTATTAAAATTTATGTCTATAATTAGAGATGGGTATGGGTCGGATGGGGTTGGATTTTTGACCAACCCGACTCCGACCCGGTTATTATACCTTTCATTCGATACCCGACTTGACTCTAAGAAGATTCCATCGGACTCGAATCCGATTCTTTTCTTTGAAGTTAAAACCCGACCTGGCATTCAAATTCATCCCCGAATTGATTTAAAAGTTTACTTGAAGTTAAAATTCAAGATTTTAATTTCTATGTTTAAAAGTTTCAGATTTAATGAAAGAAATGATTTAAAAGGATAAGAAAGAAAATATAAGAAAATAAAAGAAGATTAAAAATGGAATGAAGGAGGAGAAGAACACACAAAGCAAAAGAACTTAACGTGAGAGAAAGATGGTGAAGTTGTAGAGGCAACGGCAGCAGTGGGAAGAGAAGAGGAAATAGGAAAAAGAGAAACCCTGATATATATATATATATATATATAATGGCATTTTTTGTAATTATATTGAATAATATATATCGGGTCGGGTCACATATTTTTAAGTTATAATTTGAATTCGATGACTTCTCTCTTAAAACTCGACCAAATCTAAACCGAAATTTTAAAAGAAGTATGGTCGGAATCGTCTAATCCGAGTTCCATGTCCATCTCTATCCATAATTGAGCCACAAGATCTTTTATTATTGTGTAAGTTGTCTTTGTTCCGAGGAAAAAACGAAAGTCCTCTTGTGAGTAGTCAATAAAGGAATAATTTCACATTCTTTGGCTAAATTTTAAAGTCTGATAAAAGTAGAACTACACACTTCTATGAAAAAATTACAAAGCGTAAAAAATGTGGTGTTTCTATTTTCTTGCGACAGTTGCGTTAATTGTAGGCTTAATACAAGGCTTAAGTATAAAATAAGTGAATAAACTATACTTATTTTTACGAATAGGTGTCTAAATTATTTTTAGGTTCATCCAGGTGTCTAACGTTACCAACGTTACTACTTTAAATGCTCAAACCGTAACGGCCGTTAAATGAAAATCGTTATCCATTTATTTGCTGACACGTGACCATGGCTCAAGTATAAAATAAGTGGCTAAACTATATCGTTTTTCCAAATAGGTGCATAAAGTATTTTTTCGGCCCATCTAAGTGTCTAGTGTTATAAACGTTGACACTTTAGGTGTCTGACATTACATATGTTCTCACTTTAGGTGCCTGACATTACGTCGGTGTTAACGATCGTTAAAAAACCTGTTAAGTGACATGTCACAATCTGATAATTTTAAAATTTTATTTAAAAAACTCAAAAATATTTTGTTTGCAAAAAAACCCATTTTTTCTAAAATACCAAAAAACTAAACTCTTAAAATCTCTTATTTTAGTCTCACTTACTCCAACCGCCGGTCATCTCCGGCCACCTATCCACGAGCAGCAGACCACTCATACGTCGTCGACCACCCACTAAACGGTTACAGCTCTTAATATAATATCAAAATCTAAAATTCTCAAATCCTTAAATTTCAATCCCTAAAATCCCAAATATCCAATCCTTTAAATTCATTTGATTAATTGTAGTAATCGACTGTGGAAACAGACCTCTTAGCCATTTGATCGGTCGACCGTTTGGCCATGATAATTAAAATGACCAAAGAAGAGGGGAGGAAAAGCAGGGGAGTAGGGTGGCCAAACGAGTAATTCAGTTAACTAATTGAACCCAAATTTTATTAACCAATTTTTTTTCTTTAATTGTTAATCGAAACAAATTTTTTTCAAAAAAAAAATTAAGTGGATTGAATTAACCAAAATATATAAATAATATATATTAAATATTAAATATTTTTGTTTATTCGGTTAATTCAATTGGTTAATTAAGTTAAAATCGAGTTTAAACACCCCTAAAGCTAAATAATATATATATGATATTATATATTTAATAATTTTTTAATTCGGTTAATTAAACGATTTTGAACCAAATTAACTGAAACCGAAGTTTTAAAAAAATCATTAATCGTTAACCGATCGAATCCAAAATCACCCCGACTGAAATTTTGATTCAGTCAGTTAATTCGGTTTTACCCGAACAATGAACACTCCTATAGGGGAAGGGAAACACATTTTTTAATAATTTTTTTATTTTTTTAAAAAATAAATAATTCAAAATTTTAGTTTTTGTGACACATGTCACTTAATGAGATTTTTTAGCGGTCGTTAACACTGAGACACCTAAAGTGATAACGTTTGTAACGTCATACATTTAAAGTTGTAACGTTTATAACTTAGGCACCTGGATGGGTCGAAAAAGAGTTTAGGCAACTATTCGGAAAAAATGTATAATTTGGGCATTTATTTTATATTTAAGCTATGGTCACGTGTCAGCAAATGAATGGATAACGGTTTTTATTTAACGGTCATTACGGCCCGGACACCTAAAGTGCTAATGTTAGGCACCTGGATAGGCCAAAAAATATTTTAGGCACAAATTCGTGAAAACATGTATCAAGCTTATTTTAGGCACCTAAAGTTTAGGCACTTATTTAATACTTAATCCTTAATACAAAATTAAGTGTATGAACTTTGCCTCGAAAAATATTTTAGTGTCTACATAATTTTTCGCTAAAATTAAGTGCATAACATTTTTATCGGAGCACTTTTAGGTGTTTGGACCGCAACAACCGTTAAATTTAACAGTTAAGTGACACGTATCAAGCTTTGGTAATTTTGAAATTTTATTTTAATTTTTTTTTAAAAATAAAAATATTTTTACTAATAAAGAAAAAGAAATCCCCCAAGTAGCATACCCCCTCTTTCTTCCCCCTTTCTTCCTTCTCCTTTTCTCCTTCCATGGTCACCGACCGACCCGTCATCACCATTGTCGTTAGCACTGAGGTCGACTCCATATCAAACCCCTGTTAGCCTTTCGCCGTAAGCTGCCATAGTTTGTCGTGTAGAAGTGTTCGAAGGTTTGTCGAACTTTAAGCCACCATCGTTGTTTTTCATTGATTCCGTTCGATCCTGACGTCCATAAGTCATGTACCACCATTTGAACCACCGTACAATTCCGCTCAAACCCCATCCTCATCGTCACTCCGTCGATGTTCCTCCGACGTTTCATCGTGGAGATTAATATTTTAAAGTTTTAGGGATTTTGATGTTGGGGATTTTAGAGATTTAGAGGATTTTGGTGACGATAAGGGTGAAGGTTGATCGATGGGAGGCCAGCGACGGGTGCATGACCGTTCAGCGGTGATGATGGTGGCCGATGATGGTTGGTAACGGGATTGAAATGAGAGGTTTTTTTATAATTTCATTAAATTTTGGGGTTCTTTTGTAAATAAACTAAGTTTTTTTTTATATTTTTTTAAAAAATCATATTTTTATTATTAAAAAAATAAAAAATAATTGAAAGAATATGAGGCATAAATTTTTAACGAAAAATTATTTAAACACCAAATCGTTTTTCGAAATAAAATTTAGGCACTTATTCTTGAATTAGGCCTTAATTGTGGGCTAAAAATCCAATTGTGGGCAAAGTTTTATAAGCAAAATTACATTTTAAAAACTCTTTGTGGTACAAGAAAGCTAAAAGGATCTTAGTTGATTCACTATAACCTGTAAAACATAAATTTGGAAGAAAGAAAATCAAATCCAAATAATAAAAAATTAAAATTTAATTTTTATATTTTTAAAAATTAAAATGATAGATAAATTAGGACATACAAGAGAAAATTGGAGCGCGTCGGAGCGAGAAAAAAACCATAGCCTTGAACCGCCATGATTGAATTGTCGGTTGTTGATTAGGTTGAGGCATAAATGTTGGAGGGGAGGGAATTAATTAGATTTTTGCCTTTTGAATGCAATTTTGTTTTCTAATAGCTATGAAGGGTAAAATTATTCGGATAATGGGTTGAAATAAAAAAATTCTTCAGATAATACAACCAATAATTATTTGTTCATTTGGGATATTTGTTACCGTTTGAGGGTAAGTCGCCAGGTCCTCTAGGCGACCTTCATAGGTCGTCAAGTCCTCCAAACGTTCAAGCATTGGTTTCCTATATTTCTCATAAGTAACAGTGATTACCTAAATAGGTAATTAGACTTTTAGTTGAAACCTCCATAGGTCGCTAAGTCCTCTGAACGATCAAGCATTGGTTTCCTTTACTTCCCATAAGTAACAGTGATTATCTATATCAGTAATTAGACTTTTAGTTGAAACTTCCATAGGTCGCCAAGACATCCCGACGATTTTTCGAACTTCTGACAGATACTGTAACATTCACAATATATCAAAAAATAATTTCAGTTAGACCTTATTTCAACAAATAATTTTTTTCAAAACTCTACAACATCAAATCAACCTCTATGAAGATTCTATACGTTTACTAATTTCTTACAAGAAAAAATTATATTATTAGTCTCTGAAATATAAAAGTTAAAGCCATTAAAATATTATAATATAACTTATTTAATTTCAATTTCTATATTTTGTTAAAAAAAATAAAATTAAATCTACAATTTACATTTTTTTAAATGGAAATTTAGAGAAAAAAGTAATCGAATGAATTGAGAAGTGAGTGGTTTCTCCATTATTATGAAAGACGAGAAGTTCTTAATCCAAAATTCTCGAGGAGTTGAGGGACTATAATTTTAATAGAATTTTAGATACAAAAAAGAAAAAACATATTAAAAAGAGTATTTTAATCGGACGGCTGCCAGGCGGAGGCGGTCAACAAGGACAAATCTTTCCACCCTAACTTGAGGCACCCATTCTCCTCCAACAGCGTATACCCTTTCCAAGGGAACATCCCCAGCAGAAGACTGGCCTGTGCTGCCGGGTTCCCACCCAACGATACGGGTTGAAACCCGACCCGTCTCAACTCCTCTCCCCATCTCTCCACCTTAACCTCCCCCGTCCTCTTGGGCCCACCCACCGCCACGATGTTCCTGATCTCGCTCCCGAACAGCTGCTGCTCCACCGTATGCCTCTCCAGGCTATCCACACCCAATCCGTCCCCCAGCGCGTCGAACAACGCGCTGTAGTAATGCAATGCCTCCACGAACCTCCCGAGGAAACTACCTCCGTGACTCAAGTCCTGTTCGACGATCGTGATTAGTTTCGGCTTCAGAACCGTCAGCAATCTCAGCGTCGCTAAATCGCTCCCCGTCACGTCGTATAAGCAATGATGCATACAGTGAACCACCACCGCTTCGCTCGACCGGACACCGAGTTGACTCAGATCTGTTACGTTCCCTATTTTTCCCTCCAGGGGATGGAACTCGAATGGTAACCCTAACGAAGCCGCGAAATCGGCGAGTCTTTTCCCGGTCAATTCTAGAAGCTCCGAGGAGGATCCGAACCCGGTGATTCTCATCGATCGGATCTTTTTGGAGCGGGAAGCGAGTATGTGGAATAGACCTGGCCATTGGAGACCTTGCATGATGTCGAGATCGATAACGTGGACACAATCCTCACCGCTCAATGCTTGGAATATGGCTTGATTGGCGGTGAAGTGAGAGAATTTGACCAAAGGACTTATCGAATTGTAAGATTGGAGAGCATTGAAGATCTTTTGAGACTGAGTCAAGGTAAGCGATTTGTTGTCGAGGGGAGAATATGTTCTCAAGCAAGAACTAACCACACGTGCCTGTAGAGCGTGTGCGAAGTACGCGCCGACGCGTTCGGGAGACGAACCAAACGGAGTAGATAGCTCAGAGATTTCAGGTAAAAGATCGGTGGCGTCGTCGAGGTTATCCATCGCGACGCATTCGGCGCATTGGAGGAGGAGACCTAAAAGCCTTAGCCCCGTGGACTCACCTTCGATCACCGTTTCCTCCTGTTCATCGACAACAACCATTTTATCGCCGGAGGAGTAGTTGGGACGCTTGTTAGAAGGATCAGCGGCAGCGGAATCTTCCCCGGGGGCAGCGGAGACGTCTCTTTCGACGCGCTTTGACTTCATGGAGGAGCTAGGATTGGAGCTGGTGTTGGAATTGATTGGAGATTGAGGAACTAAGCTTTGAAGCATGATCGGTTAAGGGAGAAAGAAAGAGAAAGGGAGAGAGAATAGATTCGAAAGGCGAGCAACTTTTGGGAGAAAAGGGACAAATATCTTTTGAAGAGGACTAACAAAAGTTTTTCCTGTACAGAGTTTTTGTGCAGGGATGTGTCAGAGATTGAAAGTTGGGTCTGTTTGGGAGGCGAGAAACTGAAAGAAAATTTCTATCATCAAGGAGAAGGAGAAAAAGGTAGATAACTTTATCTCTTTGATTTTTTTTTTCTTTAAATAATATTTTATGCGATAACCGTTAGGTAAACGGGGAGGCTGTCGTTAAGTCTGTCTGTTTAAGTGGAAGGATTAGGGATTGAAAAGGAAAGTAATTGTTAATTAATTAAGCTAAATGATAGGTCATTGGATCCCGGGGATGTTGTTTAGGGTGAGATTAGGGGATGAGTACTTTGTCCTTTATGTTAGGACATCGATAGGTCTTGTCCGTGTAAATTATTCCTATTTTTTAACTTTTGATTTCATCGAAGGAACTGGACTTTTTAACTTCATTATCATTATTTTTTTTAGAACAAATAAATTTAATATAGTAAGGTTTAATAGCCAATTTTACCCCTCAAAGTAGGATCCGATTCTCATTTTAATCCTTCAATTTTTGTAAATAATTTTGACCTCTTTGATTAATGTAGTTAAAAGGACGTCTTGCTCATCTTAGAAGTCTTGGTTTGGACATTTACGTTTATATGGTGTGTTCATTGTCAATAATTAAAAAAAATCTAAATAGATACTACCTTATAAAAAAAATGACTATCCCTTGTTCCCATATGTAATGAGGTAAGGGAGAGGTAAGATAGTAGGCTGCCCCCAACATCAGGTTGAGAGCAGTTTCCGTAGAAGACCTCCGAATTATAAAATGCTCTCCGTGGGACTCGATCCCACGACCTCAAAGTTAAGAACCTTGTGCTCTACCTTATAACCACTCTCAAATTATTTTTAAAAAAATATTTAACATTTTAAACTAATTAGTAAGACATGTGAAGATCAAAATTAAGAATAAACAATATGTCGACGAAAAAAAGGTTTAAAATATTATCAATTTGATCCTTCACATGACACTGATTAATTGACTGCAAATGGCATATAGTTTTTTTGACGACGTAAGATAAAAGGGTAAAAACTTTTGATGGAACGAAACTTAAGGGACACATTTGAAAGAAAAAAAAAAGAAATAAATGAGAAATAAATTATACTTTAGAGTCAAATAATCTATCAAGTCATGGTATTATTTTTCACTTTACTATTACTATTACATTTTCATTTTGATTTATTTAAAACAGTAAATTATCAATAATAATGTGACTAATTGATTACATGTGTGTTGTCGGGTGCTGATTATTTTAGGATGATTTGAGATAAAATAAATTTTAAAGACTAAATATGAGAAGAGGGAGTGCCGAAATCCAAAAATGATAATAATTCAGTGGCTAAATAATGTATAAAGGGGAAAGAATTATTCGTGGTTGCAGTGTAAGAGAATACAATGAAGACTGGGCACATTATAACGGGAAAGCGTTACTGATTTGGTTATTATTTTTTAATAAAATCGATAAAAAAGTATCAAAAATATTATTATTTTTATTAATTTTATTATTATTAGGCGTTTTATCAGTTTTTTTAATATATTTAGTAAAGTGTTATTGATTTTTTTTATTTTTCTAACGATTTTATTATTATTGGACACTTTAACAGAAATATTAAAAAATTAATATTTTAAATAAAATTAATAATATTTTAAATAATTTAATACCGATTTTATTAAAAATAATAATAAAACTGATATCACATTTTTAAATTATATATTAAAGTTGTGGATATAACTGCTCCATTATAACTGACAAATTAGTACTCCAGTTGCCAGACGCCACTCGTACTACTTTTGGTATGTTGTGTTGCTATAATAAACTATTCCACCCATAGTTAACCCGGAATTAAAAAATATTTTTAAAAATAGACATATGTACATTAATAATATAATTTTTTCGAATAAATGAACATAAACAAAATTTTAAGATGAGCGTCGTCATTAAAATAAGTGATTAATAGAATAAAATTTGAATTTCAATATGGATACTTGTCCACATTCAACCCTCAATGAATATTATGCTTTTCCCTGTCTTAATTACTGAATGTTAAAAACATTAATGTAGTATGATAATAATTTTAGTTTCTAAAATTTATATTTTTTGCAACAGTTTTAGCCCTTTTTAATCACTTATTCACCTATATTTGTCTTCTTAGCTCTACTCTGAATCCTTATTTCTAATTAATTGAGCCCTTGGATGCATTGTCTTGCTATTTTATAGAAAAGTAGGATTATAATTTGTATAACAATTTAAGAAATCAAGTCCCTAGTTTAAATTGAAGGAAATTATTTTTGACGTTATTTATTTGATTTCTGATGTGGACGTTTACATTAGGGGTGTGATGTGGACTGAATTATTGGTATACCTTGCTCGTACGAAGGTATTATTCGCTGTGTAGATTAAGATGGAAAGGAAAGGGCGATCCTAGTCTTGTGAAGTTGCTGTTTGATCCAAAGGATGGAAGTATAATTTACCATATTACACAAGGGAAGTCTGAACTTTTAGTAATACAATTATGATTTGGGTAAAATACACTGTTAGTCGCTAAACTTTAGGTTGTCTAATGATTTTAAATTTAAGCTTTAAAGTATTTTATTTCTAACATTGAATTTTAATTTGTGTTTTATTTAGAACATTAAAATGTTAAATCATTAATGATACACTATTATGGTCACCTCTTTCTGATTTTTTACAAAAAAATAATAACTTTTATAGTCGTGGTTATTGATCAATCGTTGCCGATCGTTAGGCATCATTTGTGATAAGATAAATATCAAAATATTCATATTTCCCTCCTCTTTCTTCTCCTCGAATTAAGTTTGTAAAAAATCCAACCAATCAACAAAAATTTATCTAAAAGTCTCATATTCTAATGTTTTGATCTCGTATCGAATAAGATTAGTTTCTAAGTATGTTATTCGTATTTTCAAAAGAATATTTCTCCATTTGAATTTTTAAACAAACACTTCAAATTCAATAAAATTCAAACCCTTAAAACGATGATTTTTTTTTGTTTAATCTCTTGAATTTTATAGAAAATTTAAGAAAATTTAAACTAATAAATGATAGAACATGGTGGGACGAATTTATCGATGTCTTCAATAACCACAACAGATACCAAAGAATGATAATTTCTAACGACAAAAAAATAAAATAAAAAAACTTAATATTGATATAGAAGATGAGTTAAAATAATTATAAAAAAAACAATATTTTAGCTTCCACATCAACAACAAATTATCATACCATTGAATAGTTAATGGTTTATCGTCCCATTACCCTAATTGAAACATAAACTAAAAATTTAATGCTAAAATGGAAACAATTTAAAGTAAAGTGACTTATCCAAAAAAAATTAAAGTAAAGTGCTTAAATTTATACACCATGTAAAGTGTAATGAATAATGGTATAATTTACTCTTATGATTTTAATCTATTGTCTGAATCGAGTGAAAGAACGAACTTGAGGAAGACAACAAATTTCAGGAAACTACAATAAAAAAAATCAAATTATGTTAAATTCAAGTGAAAAAAAAAATAATCCCAAATTTTGGCAGAATCAACAAAGGGATAAAACCACGTTTAAATCTATATGAAAAAATGATCATCATCTTCAAGGTCAAGAAAAGTGCAATCAACATACCCACAGATCAGCATGGAAGAATTGAACAGCAGAATCAGCTCAATAATTACATTATAAATAACAACCAATCAGACCAATAACGCAACACGATTTTGGCATCAGAATCACCTATTTTAAACAGATTCAGATCCGTTCAATCGCATGAAAGCACCCGAATAAGTTCAATCGCATTAAGTTTTCAAAATCCAAACAGATTCAGATCCGTTCTCAAAATCCGAAATGTTCAGGATATTATAAAGAAATCGAGCAAAACACTCAGAATCTGAGCTTGGTAAAGAAGCACCTGTTTTTTCCAGTCTTGAACCTCTCTTCGAACCTCTGTTTCGTAGCCTTACAAGCGGCCACCTTCTTGTCCTTCGTCTGGAGCGCATCGACGGAGACCGCGTCTTTCAAGTCCACGTCCGGGGTGTAACGCGTGGGCATCAAGTGCTGGAAATTCACGAGCTTCACGAAGCCTTGACGCGCGATTTCTTGGCGGAGTCCTTGCGGATGACCTTGCTCGGGTACTTCTTTATCCCCGCGACTAAACAGTGGCCTAGGGGCGGTCGCGTGTGCCTTCGTCGAAGGATTTAACGATCACGGCTTTCCGGCCGGCGTATCGGCCTTGGAGGACGATGACTGCCTTGTTGGGCTTTAGAAACTTCACCATTGCGCGGCTTTTGATTTATCTTCTCGCGCAAACCCTAACTCGATAAAAGGGAAATTACTGGAAATGTGGCATATATAGTATTGAGTTTAGTGAAACGCAAGCACATTCGGCTTTGGTTATGTGGTCTTATTGGTTTGGGCCTTAATTAAGTAATTACAGGCACCATACTTCATTAGACTTTGTCAGGTTTAGGATGGTCATTTCATTTAGATTTGATGATTTTTTTTAATTGAAAGGAAGCAATACAATCAGTGTCTTAAATATGGGTGGCCGTTTACACCACGATCCAGTAGATTAAGTGGATCAAGAGGGGCAGCATAAAAAAGGATGATATTCAGTGAAGCATGATCCGCCAGTCGTGTAAGAGCGTCCGCCATCTGATTGCACTCTCTCGGTATCTATTGAATATCGGTAACCCAAGCCTTGCTTCTCATTTCATGTATTGCACGCAGTATAGATGAAGGAACAACAGCACCGTCCATAACTTCGATTAACTTGGTTGCATTGAGACAGTCAGATTGGATAATAACGCGTTCAAAACCTTTGCTGAGGAAGCAATGCAAGGAATGTTACAATTCTAAAAGTGTTTTGCCCACGCAAGACTGCAATTAAAAACTTCATCCGTAGAACGACGATCCTGATTGAAAGTATAATCATTCCGTCGTTTCCACAGTTGCCACACCAATGATAGAAAGATGAAGTCCCAAGGCACATTCCAAGGAGGCGTCGATGTCGTCTGACGAATGTTACCAATTAACCAACTATCAAGGTCTAGCTCAAAGAATCTAACCTGCCACTCAGGTGGGATGATTTTGGTCCATTATTGTTTAGCTTCTCCACAA